AAATGAATGACTAAAGGTGAAACATATATAATTTTCTGTTTTTTTTAAGGTTTGAATTTTATTTAAACAATAACATATTATCTCTCATTTAGTACAGAGGAAGGCATGCACAAAACCATGTTTTAAGTGCAATACGCGATAGTGTAGATCGATCACCTCTTCGAGAAAGATCTCTGACTGTGGAACAGTTTTCAAGGCCCAGCACAACCCATACGTTCCGAGTAGGTTCTATGTTAACTATACTTTGCTTTTATTTTTGTTTTAATTAAAATGTTTGGGTGACATTGGCTAATAGGGTCATACAGGTTTTGAGTGTACATTTCCATATGCATGATCTGTATACTGCATTGTGTTAACTATACTTTGGTTTTTAAAAATATCCAACCCATGTCCTGGCTGGTGAGGCTCAGTTGATTGAGTCTTGTCCCGTGTACCAAAAGGTCTTTAGTTCAATTCCCGGTCAGGGCACATGCCTGGGCTAAATTCCCAGAAAGGGATGTGCAGGAGGCACCTGATCAATGTTTCTCTCCCTGTCCCTTCCTGTCTCTCTAAAAATAATAAAAACATATTTTAAAAAATATCCAATGCAAGTGCCCATCAATAGACAAGTGGATAAAGAATTTGTGCCACATACACATACATACATACAATGGATTATTAGTCATAAAAAAGAATGAAATTTTACCATTTGTCACAGCATGGGAATAAGTCAGTCAGAGATAGACAAATACCATATAATTTCACTTACATGTGGAATCTAAAGAACAAAATAAATGAACAAAATAGAAACAGGCCCATAGGTACAGAGAACAGATTGATGGTTGCTAGAGTGGAAAGGGGATTGAGAAGTACAGATTGGTAGTTACAGAATAGTCATAGGGTTGTAAGTACTACATAGGGAATATAGTCAATAATATTGTAACATCTATTTATGGTGCCAGGTGGGGACTGGAAATATCAGGAAAACACTTCATAGAGCAGTGGTTCTCAACCTTGGCTGCACATTAGAATCACCTGGGAATCTTTTTAAAATCCTGATTTCTGGGTCTCATCATTAGTAACAAAGGAACAGAATTTCTGGAGGATGAGGCCCAGAAATCAGGATTTTAAAAAGATTCCCAGGTGATTCTAAAGTGCAGCCAAGGTTGAGAACCACTGTTGTAGAGTATATGATTATCTAACCGCTATGCTGTACACCTGAAATCTATACAAAATAATATTGAATGTAAAAAATATATACTTTTGACTAAATGTCAAACAAGGGAAAAAGTATCTGAAACAATAAAACTCATCCCTCATTTTATTTTTCTTCTAACAGTCAGACACCCCTCGAAAAGGTTCATTGACTCTGATGGAGTTTGCTGGTCATACCTGGGCAGGTCAAGGTTTGTTGACAGGTCAGTGCTCTCCATGGATAAATAAAATGATGTAATGTGTGAAATTGTAAGTTTTGGAAAAGAAGCTGAAGATTGCTCCCTGGATGGGACTGTTGTGGACCCCGTCAGAGGAAATACCAAGGGTTTGTGGTCTACAACCAGACCTCAGACACCTGTATAAAGAGCGAAACTGCAAAGGCAAGCTGTAGTTGTGAAGAGGAAAATCTCCAAATGCTTTTTAATCACCTTAAGATCTCACCCTCAAAAAAAAAAGGGGGGGGAATAGGCTGCCTTGTGAGTCCTATGGGAAATTAGTGCCTCTTTCAGCTGTGGAGGTTCATTCTTTTCTCCTAAATGAAACCCCAATCTTAGATTCTCTTTGAAGATCTAATGATAAAAATGCTTAATAAAATTAATACATACAGTCTAATTATTTATGTAGAGTTTTACAGATAAGTGTGCTCTTTGAAGAATAAAGTTTCTCATCTGAATTCAAGTCAATGATGTTTTGATTTTTCAAACTATGTCCAACATTTTTTTCCAAAGGCAAAAGATTGATCAAAATGAACTTTTATTGTTGCAAAATACTTTTTCATCTTTAACTGCCTCTTATCACAAACACACCATTGCTACTGCTTATATGTATGACAGGATAATATTGAATTTGTGAAATCATTCAAACACAGTCAAGGGTAGAGAAGAATAAAGCACATGTTCAAATCATCATAGGCAAGGTGACATTTGGAAAAGAACGTTACTGGAGTCTGAATATGTGGACACTGGCTCCTAAGGGAACCAAGGAGTGCTTGTCCTGTGTCACACACATGCTTTGGTTATGACCAACATTTTTATTCAGGGAGGCCACATGGCATTGTCATGAAACCCTGGAATCAAGGTTTCTTTTTTTTTTAAAGATCTTTTTATTGATTTCAGAGAGTAAGGGAGGAGGGAGGGAGAAGCATTGATGATGAGAGAGAGATTCACTGATCATGCCCCACACTGGGGATTAAGCCCACAACCTGGGAATATGTCCTGACTGGTAATCAAACCGTGACTTCCTGGTTCATAGGTCGATGCTCAACCACTGAGCCATGCTGACTGGGCTCAAATGCTTCGTTTCCATTCTGGCTCTGCCCCCTACCAGCCGAGCAATCTTTGGGTTGTCTCAATCTCTCTCTGGGCCTCAGTTTCTTTTTTTATAACCTGCTGTCTGATAAAATAATTATTGGAAAAATGTATGGAAAGGACTTAGGTAGATGCCAGAAAGATATTGTTTGCTGTAAATGTTCATAGTAGAAATTATGACCATTTGTATTACAGATCATCGGACATGTAAAGGATAATTGCCCTTTTTAGGGAAACACTTCATATATTATAATTTTAAAATAAATTTAGCAAAATTTAAGCATTGGAACAACACACGTTTGTCAATATTTGCATCACCCTTCTGTTGTTCTGTAGCAGAGCGATGTCAAAGATTCTTTAGCCCTTTGAGATTTTTCTCCAATGCTTAATAGCTCCAGGCTGCTGTACCTTTCCATTGCTTTTTTTTCTTATACATTCCCTAGCGCCATTCGCTGTCATGGTCAGTGACAATAGTTCTTTCTCGAAGAGACAGCCACGCTACATTATCAAGTATTGCTTTTAACAGAATCATAGATGGTCAAGCAGAATTAGACACCCAAGTTTGTTTATCGTATGTGAGAGAGAAAGGAGTGAAGGCTGATACCTACGATTCTGTGGGTGATGCTGAAAGAGGGAACTCGAGGAGTTTTGATGAATTGTTTTGGAGACGTTGACTACAGCTTGCTGAGTGGAGGTGTCAGCTAGTTTGTTGGGCACACGGGAGTGAGGTTAGGAGATGGAGCTGGGCTCTGAATTTGCTTTAACTCCACCCTCTGGATGTTTCACCAAATACTGGTCAGTGTAGGCTCTTGTCAGAAACGAGTGACAACAATTGTAACTGACGGCCAGAGTCCCTTTCATTTCTGTCGGAGGGAATGAGGGTGCATCAAGAGAGATGTTTCTCTAATTCTAAGGTTTTATTTTATTTTTTCTCTGACAAGCAAGCACGTGGTCTCTTTCTTACCTTTGCTTCCAAGTCAGAAAGCATCTGGAGCTATTAACTTACCAACATATTGTTTTTGTGGCTGGGAAAAAAAGAGGGGAGGAGCTGATGGGGTGTCCCCAACAGCGGGAAGGCAGGTGAGTTTGCTTCTACCCCCATGGGGCTGGCAGAGCTCCCTACTCAACTGCCTGGGCCTCCGGACCCGCTGTGGGGAGAAGGTCCCTGCCCCCCACCTGCCTGGAAGGACACATGGCCAGCACCGAGGCTTGGTGGGGACGAACACCTTTCCTTCTTCTCAACCCCAGATGGCAGTTTTTGCACATGCCTGTTTCCTGGTGTGTGTGAAAGTGACATTAAATACCTTTTTTCTTTTTTAAAAAAATATCATCTGCATGGAACATACAAAACAACGCTTTTGAGAGCTGGAATTTTTAACATTCTAATGAGAATTACTTTTGGTTGGTGTTTCAGGTTCGCAGTATCCACCCAAGTCTTTTCAGAGGACAACTCTGACTTTAAGAAAGAGATTCCAAGTGGCATCTTGATGTTGCTTCCCCAGAATTGCAGCCTTTGCTGGGCCACCCAAAGCCTCCGCGACCACTTGTCACTGAAAAACAGAAGAACAAGTATCATAGTATGTGTCTGCTGGCACAGCAGTCTGCAATATTGGACTGTCTGAGAGAAATGCAGACAAATAAACAACTTAATTGTGAACACTTTGCACTGTAAACACAATACAAGTCAAGCTTATCAGTCTTTGTCATTGGAGGCATTCCAATATGGATCTTTTAGGCTTTGCTCAGAGGTATCTGTGTTTATAATCCATCCTTTTATCAACTATACACACACAAAATTTGTGTGTGTGCTGACTTTCTCATACCCTTTTAAAAAGTAGTTTAGTGATGAGCCTCTTTGAGGAACGTCAGTGGTTAAGTCTCCCAAGGCCATTTTGCTTTACTAGTTTTTATGTTCAAGTTCAGGTGGTCTTTTCAGAAGTATCCCCAGTTTATTGATTTTTAAAATCAAGTGATTGATTTTAATTATGAATGTACACATAATTAAAATATATTGCATATGGTTTCATCGTTATTGTTCACAACTGAAGTGTTCCTCCATTGGACAGGCTTCACCGTAGCATCTTCCTCTTCCCAGTTGTTACCTCGGGGCATGGAGCCTTCCCGATCCCTCTGTCTAAAGCAGCAGCTCCCTCTGCTCTCTGCCTCTTGCTTTGCTTTATTTTTCCTCTGAGCGTATCCCTATCTGACATGAATATGGAAAGTGGAATAGAGAATGTAAATGAGGCTTAATCAGTTGGAGGCAAGGCTCTGTGGTCATTTCTCTTTTCCTCTCTGCCCTGTTGTTTTCCTTTATCATGATTTAAATTTTTAGACTCGTTTTGATCTTTTCAGATCTCAACTTGTGTAATTCTTCTTTTCTATCAGAGAGTTATATTTTAATGATTTAATTTTTATTAATACAAAATGAAGCTTCTATCTATCTATCTATCTATTCCTATAAATATATAGTAGGTTATTTTCAGACATATTTCTAGCTCTAAGAAAAGAGGATTGTTGCCCACTTATAAACGTCTGGAAATTAAGGAGAGTGTTGGCACTTGAATTAGTGTTGTCCAGAGCCTTGCCTCCAATTGGTACGTTCTCCTTTACATTCTCTACTTCAATTTCTATAGTCATGGAACATGTTAGGGAGTTGACATGAGAATGATCACTGTGTCTATGGCTCTTCTGATTGGCCACAGCTCCATAATTCTAGGTCATATTCTCAATGCTTAGTAACCTACACAAAGAATTTTCTAACTATCCCTAAATATTAGCTATAAAAGCTTTCAATATAGAGTATCAGTACTAATTCTGTAGTTATCAGATGTGAGGAACTTCTCGTCATGTAAGTGGTCTGGAGTAAGGTGCTCTTTGGTCCATAACTACTGCTAACTGTGCCATTTCTATCTACCTGGCTCCTTCAAAACCATTCAGACTATTTTATATCGGTTTCCCAAAGCCATCCAAGTCCTTCCCTAATCAGCTCAGACTTCTGAAAAAGGATTGATATGCATCCTACACTAACATTAGAGCATATAAAAGGAATTATTTTTTTTCATAGAGAACCACTGAAAAGGTTTAATGGTAGCTTTATTTTATTTGGCTTTGGAGTTGTGCAACAACTAAAAAATTCTATTATTTATACATATTGATTAAAAGTACTTTAAAATATGGAGCCAAATACAATGATCTTGATTCAAATGTTCTAAATATTTTCAATTGGAAGATAAAGTACCATTTAAGACAGGGGTGGGCAAACTTTTTGACTCGAGGGCCACAATGGGTTCTTAAACTGGACCGGAGGGCCGGAACAAAAGCATGGATGGAGTGTTTGTGTGAACTAATATAATTCAAAGTAAACATCATTACATAAAAGGGTATGGTCTTTTTTTTTTTTTAGTTTTATTCATTTCAAACGGGCCGGATCCGCGGGCCGTAGTTTGCCCACGGCTGATTTAAGACATAACAAAAAGACGTGACTCTGTCCCTGACTTTAAAAAACCTGCTCTCCACATGTTTTCTTATCCGTATTAAAGATAATGTTTTACTTACAGGTTAATTGAGATTTAGAGGCTAGTAAGTAATCTTTATACCAAGGATGGTGCTTCTTGAACTGGTTAGGTAAACGTTACGACTGTTTTCATAATAATCATTAATAAATGAATCATCTTAAAATTTTTGTTGAAAATTGAAAAAGGCAAACTGAATTACCCCTGAGGTCAATCTCTATATATAAAAGCGCAGTGACAGGAACAGCGGAACAACTGGAACGCCCGGTTGCTATGATGTGCACTGTGGTGGCCAAACGGCCTGATCCTGGCCCTGATCAGCTTCTCCCAGCCTCCCATGGGCCCTCCCCCTGCCAAGCCTCCCCTAGATTTGCGCCCCCTACCCCTAATCAGGGGCGGGGCTAGCCAGCCAACCTACCTCCCAGGACCCCTCCCACCAGCAGGCCCCCTGATAGGCCTCGATTGCCCGCCAAGCCAAGGGACTCCACCCATGCACAAATTTTTGTACCAGGCCTCTAGTTTTTAAATCAAGGTTAGAGATTACATTAATAAAATGTCTGTTAATTTATCCAAAACCAAAGAAGGAATGAAGGAATTGAAAATAATATAAAACATGTAAAATACCATAAAAAAACTGCTCAATTTTTAAAATGTAACATAAGAGGAAATATCCATATTGTTATTCTGAACTAAAATGTAATTGCTGTACCAATTAAGAGGTACATTTTTATAATATTGTAAATCATTTGGGTAGGATATTTTTATAGTCATTGTTTTCTTATGACCACAAATCATTGTCCAGGGTTTTTAATTTTTGATAAAATATAAAGTGTTGAAAGAGTTTTCAGAATTTTATTGCATTTACAAAAGCTTGTTTGGGTTCCCAATTTTTATATAATTTGTGTGAATACCTCCCTACTCTGCATATACATAAGTTATTCATTCTTTTATATTTCTAACCAGATAGTAAACATTCTTTCATGAATTCAAAATATATATCCATCTATGTTTTTCAGGGTTTTACCTCTGTAATAAATACTCTAAGTTAAAATTTGTTTCAGAAGATAACATTGCTGTGTGGTCATCATCATGGATTTATTATTTCATCAAATGTTTATCAAGCACCTTCTTGTTATTAAGATTCTGTTTTAAGCATTGGACTGAACAAGATGAAGTCTTTGCCCTAACAAAACTTCGAGTCTAGTGGAGGAGGCAATCAGTTTTTTACTATCATAAATCATTTGGATACTATATTTTTGTTGTAATTGTTTTCAATAACCAAAGCAACAAAAATATAAGGTCAGATAACAATACATGCTATGAAGAAACCTAAAATAGGGCTTCAACTTTAGAAAGGGAAGGCTTTATTGTAGAGGTAATATTTGAGCACAGATGCAAAGAAGATGAGGTAAGAAGCCATGTAGATATGAAAAAGAGAATTCTAGACATAGGGAAAACACATACTGGCCTAAAATAGGACATACCTAGGGGTTTGAAGAACAGCAAAGAGGCCATTGGGGCATAGAATGGAATTAGCAAGGGGGTGAATAACAGTAGATGATAGGAGTGGAGTGATTAAGATCCTTTTTGACCTTGGAAATAGAAAGTTATCTGAAATAGGAAGCAACTGGAAAGTTTTCAGGACAGAGCAATGCAATCTGACCCGAGACAATGTTTCAGTCATATGACAGTGATGTAGCTGCTCAAAGTCAGAGGACTTTGGATGTGTTTTGAAAGTGAAGTCAGCTGGATTTTCAAAATGGAAAGTTATCTGAAATAGGAGCAACTGGAAAGTTTTCAGGACAGAGTAATGCAATATGACCCTAGACAATGTTTCAGTCATATGACAGTGATGTAGCTGCTCAAAGTCAGAGGACTTTGGATGTGTTTTGAAAGTCAACTCAATGGGATTTGCTGTGAAATTAGATGTGAAGTGTAACTAAAGAAAGAATCAATATTGACTTTTTGGCTTTGGCTGGGACATGTTATGTTTGAGATGCCTATTGGATGCCTAAGTGGAGATGTTGAGGTACTTGGGTATCTACACCTGGGGTTTAGAGAAAAGGTATAGACTGGATGTATAAATGTTTCAACAGAGAGATAGAATTTAGGTACTGACATGGATGAGATAACCAAGAGAGTGAGTACAAAGACACAGGGAA